TGACGGGATATCATCACCAGCCTCATTTTTACACAGGGTCTCAATATTGAAAATCAATCCTTTAATGAGCTTAGGAGGATTTTGAATATCTGCAGCAGAGTTCAAACAGAGTTTACTTTGCGTATTGATTTAATAGGTAAGAGCAGGAAGCTCGCGAATGCTACATGCAAATTTGTTCCAAATGAGCTCCGAAAATGGATTTGGAGCTAATTGTTTTGGCACTTATTTCACTGGGGATGAAGCACTGGCCAAACGTATTTCAAAGTGAGGAAGAGGCTGTGTGAGCATCAAACCTAGGAAAAGGAGCAGTAGCATTAGCAGTAGCAAGTAGCATTAGCAGTAGCAGTAGCAGAAATTTGGAAAAGGAGAACACTCCATCTGAAGCCTCAAGGGAGGAAAGGGAATGTTGGCTGAAGTCTTATTTGGAAGCCACAGAACGGTGAAAATAATTAGTGTCAAACAACCTACAGCACTGCATTTCCAGTATGGGTCATTTTTAAACATGAACTTTTATTGTTTCAGTATAATCTATAGACAGATAAGTGGAAAAATTGTAAGGGTAAAACCAGATGAATTACCACAAAGCAAGCACATTATCTCCCAGATCAAGAGTGAGTATAGAAGTCCTCCTACTTTCAACCACCTACTTGTGACATCCTGTATCAGTTTTGACAGTATTTAAATTTTATATGAATGTAATCACTCAATGACTTCATTTGTGGCTGGCTTCTTTATATTATATTATTTTTTTAATTTTTTTATTGGAGTTCAATTTGCCATGGCTTCTTTATATTAATACGATGTACTGGCTTTGGCAGCACATATACTAAAATTGGAATGATGTGTTAATACAATGTCTGCAAAATTCATCCGTGTTTTTGGTACGTAGCATTACCTCATTCGTTTTCATGGCAAGAGCAATTCTGGACATTCCACACTTTTGTTTTTGTAATATGTTTATTTTTGACCTCTGGGATGTTCCAGATTTGGACTGTTATACCTACTGTATATGAACATTCCTGTAACTTGCTTGGTATACACACATATGCATTTTCTGTTGGGTGTGTAGCTAGGAATACAATTGCTGGTTCACGAGACATTTGTATGTTCAGCTGTAAAAACATAGCTTCGGTGTGCCACTTTTCCACTCCCTCTAGCAGTGTATGAAATTCTATTTACTCCATATCCTCTGCAATACTTAATGCTCTAAGTCATTACACTGTATTTAAATTTTAAATTTTAATCGTGAGGTATTAAATTCTATTTAAATTTCAGCTATCTGGTGTGTAGTCAGTGGTATTGCATTGCGGTTTTTATTTGCAGTTCCCAAATCACTAATATGTGCTTACTGGGAAATCTTTTGCAAACTGCCTATTTGTGTATTTTGTGTATACTAACTTCATTGTATTATCATTTTGTTCCTGATCCATACCTGATATGAGTTCTTTGTCAGTTTATGAACTATAAAAATCTGTTCCTACCCTATGATTTGCCCTTTTATTCTCTTGATGATGTCTTTGTTGGGCATAAAAATCTTATTTCAATGTAGTTTAGCTTATCAGTATCTCCAGTGATTAGAGATTTCTGTATTCTAAAATAAATCTATATCCCAAGGTCATAAAGATACTCTGTTATCTTCAAAATAAAATATTTCCTGACTGCCATTTGTATTTATTTTTTATTGTTTAAATTACTATCATCAAGATTTTATTTATTTATTTGAGAGAGAGAGAGCACAAGTAGGGGGAGAGGCAGAAGGAGAGGGAGAAGCCTACTACTCCCTCTTGAGCAGGGAGCCCAACTTGGGGCTGGACCAAGGACCCTGAGATCATGACCTGACTGGCCATCTAGGTACACCTAGTGTTTGAATTATATAGAAGTGTATTGAGTAATTTTCAAACATAACATATAGTTTTTATTGTTATCTCATTTCATTATTGATTTCTAGCTTAACTGTATTGTTGTCAAAAATGTACTCTATATAATTTTACTTTTTTGATATTTTTAAAAAATTTCTTTTACAGTCATCATTTGGTTAATCAGCTTGGCATTTGATGTGAATTTTGTATTTGTTGAATATAAGTTATGTAAATTAGGTCAAATTTATTGATTGCATTGTTTAAATATACTATAACCATATTGAATTTTTGTCTGCTTGATGTATCAGTTACTAAGAGACATCTGTTAAGATCTCCCTATGTTTATGAATTTATACCTTGCCTTTTAGTTTCATCATTGTTTTGCTTTATATAGTTTGAAATTCATTATTAAGTGCAACAAATTTACAACTATAATATTTTGGAAAGATTAACTCTTTTATTATAATAAAATTTCCATTGTTTATGCCCAATAAAGTTTCTTACCTTACAGTCTAATTTGTCTGATAAATATATTAAAAATACATAGCTATACTGGCCTCAATGTTTTTTCCATTCAATTTAGAGTTTTTGTGTTGTTGTATTTTAGGTGTGTCTTTCAATCAACATTGAGTCACATGTATTTTTTTTCATCTAGTCTAAAAAAACTTTGTTTTTGACTGCTTACACATTTACATATTATTTCCTCTTTAAATATTACTTCTGCTTAACTCTTTCTCTTCTCTCTTTCTAGGACACGAATTATGAACATGTTAGAACTTTTCCCTGTGTATTCTTTTGTGATTTCATGTAATTTTTTCCCTTTCTTCCCTCCTCTGTTCTTCAATCTGGTATTTTCTTCTGATTTATTCTAGTTTCATCTTCCGTGTCTCATTGTCTATTAGTCCCTATTAATTATTTAATTTCATTATTTTATTTTTCTGTTTTAGAATTTCTATTTGAGTTTTAAGATAGATTCCAGAATAAAATATAAAATTCTCTATATTTCACCTTATTTCTTCAAACTATTAATCACAGTTATCTTAAAGTCCCTCAGTCTGGATCTCCTTATGCATTTGTTTCTATTTTGTGTCTATTTTCATGATTTTGGCTATTAGGTTTTATCTTCTGACATGCCTGTTAATATTAATCGAAACTCGAGGAACTCTCCTTAACTTGTTGGGTGGGATGCTCCCTGATTCATGGGTCATTTAATAAAGCCAATTGTATCTTCAGATTATAAAATATATATTTACTGAAACAAACATTATGTATAAAAATTTTGAGAGCTAATTTGCTGATCTAGATAGTGTTATCTTTCTCCAGACATTACTTTTGCTTGGGGTAGGAAGGAGAATCTCCTAATCTATTCAATGATTATCTATTTACCTAAGTTAGTTGCTTAGAAACTGGGCTTTAACTTTGTGATGGCAAAGCATTTCTAGTTTATGCTTTCTCCAAAGGTGTAGTCCTACAAATGTCCCCCTTGAAAGCATAATTATAAGGACATCACCTTCTTGGTGGTCCCTGAACTCTAATTCTGCAACTAACCCAGATGTCCTTCACTTCTGAGCCTCCTAGCTACCCCTTTCTGCTCGATTTCTCTGCCTCTCAGTGGCCAGTTACAAATCAGAAATACCTTGCATGAAAACTAGAGTTGAAAATCACATTCACCATTTGTATTTCCCTTTTCCTGGGGATTTTGTTTTTCCAGGTTCTTACTGCCTGGCCAGCTTTCTATACCAATAGATTTTCAAACCAATAGATTTTATATTCTATCCAATTTTTGTAGTTGTTCTCAGGTGGGCTTATATGGAACAGTCTTCTCTACCATTACTAAACACAGAACTCCTCCAGCATGAGTTATTTTGAAACATATAACATTTCTATTCCTATAACACACAGAGTGCACAGCTGCTGAAACTGAACACTTTCCAGACAAAGAGGCCTTCCCTTGAAACTAAAAAAAAAAAAAAAAAAAAAAAAAGTCACGTGCACTAATAACATTATGCTCAAAATGAGAAATGTGAACAATAGGAAACAGGAATTGCAAAATGTGTGCCTAGAATATTCTTCAGCATTGTACAGGAGACCAAAAATCATTGCAAATTACCAAAATTATCTTTCTAATTAGGGCCTTTAAAGTAGAAACAATCCATAAATGGTGTGTTTGATGCTTGTGTATTTTTTTAAATGCAGAAATGTCAAATTAGAGCTAAAAATTGGAATATATTTAAAATGTTGATATTTAATAAATTAGCATTTTTAACTCTCAGATTTCTATACATTATCATGTGATTTACAAAATAATTAAAATATTTATAGAATACTATAGTGTTGTATAATATGATAGGCAAATTTGAGCAGTTTGAGGAACTTATTTTTCTTAAGATTGATTTATTTATTTTAGAAAGAAAAGAAAGTGGGGCAGCAAGGGGCCAAGGGAGAAGGAGAGAGAGAATCTTAAGCAGACTCCCAGCTGACCATGGAGCCTGATGCTGGACTGGATTCCATGATTCTGAGATCATGACCTAAGCCAAAATCAAGAGTCAGATGGTCAACTGACAGCCACCCAGGGATCCTGAGGAACTTATTTTTTCTTTCAATATTTGCCACTTATTTCTGTGAGTGTGTGCATATCTTCGTTTTGAGATAATGTTGAATCTAAAGAGTGAGGCTATGGACAAACGCACTCATATCATAGTCAATATAATATTATATATCAATGACAGATCTAATCACCAAAATATAAGAATAGTAGTTCTAGATCCCCAAGGGGTTACAGAATAATTCTATACATTTTGTAAAGGAAATATCATATATGTATAATCTTTCATCCCAAACACAGTACACAGTTTATCTCTCCTTTTTGTTTTTTCTAATATCACTTTTTCTCCTATTATCTACAAAATTTGGTCTGAATGATTTTTTTTAAGTGCATTTTTGCAGTAGCCATAAAACTTTAGTACTTCTTGACAATCAGCCTTGCTGTCATTTTGCAACCTGGACTTTTCATTTTAAGAGGTTGATTTTTCAATGCTAGTATGTTTGAAATAGTTTTGAGGTTTTGTGGTTGCTGTCGACACTGCGGAACTTATAACACTTTGGTTTCCTTTTGCTTTAGTGAACTGGCCAGGCCTCTGGCGTGCTCGCAGACCATGGAAGTGTCCAGTGGGCTTACTATTAGAAAAGAATCCTATACAGAACTCAAATAGGTGGCCCATCTCTGCACCTCCCTGAGAAGTCTGGCTTTTTCAGGTAAGTGCAGAAGACCTGGGGTGGAGGGCTCATGAATGAAAGCTATGCTTAAAGAGAGCATGCTAAACTTGCCAGTGAAGCTCTAATTCAGAATCTTCAGGGTGTCTGGATGGCTCAACTGGTTGAGCATCTCCTTTTTTCAGGTCATGATTTCAGGGCCCTGGGATTGAGCCTTGCATCAGGCTCCCTGCTCAGGTCATGATCTCAGGATTCTGGGATCGAATCCCCCATCAAGCCCTGCACTGGGCTCTCTGCTCAGTGGGAAGTCTGCTTTTCTATCTCTCACTGCTCCTCCTCCTGCTTATATTCTCTCTCTCTCAAATAAATTAATAAAATCTTTTTTTAAAAGAAAAATCTTCAGCCTTGCTGTAAAAAGCAAGCTTATTTACTCTGATTACAATTCCTCCTTTAGAGAAAGAATTGTCTAGTTCTTCCTGTGTAGTACAGAAGGTAACACCTACTTCTTATAAGTAGTTAAATATGAACAAAAGTGGTTTCAGAATCTGTCAAAAGAAAAAAGAGAGTCTGGCTAAAACCATCATAGAGTTCTTTAGGGCATTTGATACTGCATTTATATATCACTGAAATGTTTATATTTTAAGTGGTATTTTTTTCACTATGAAAGTCTTTAAACTCTATTACTGGTAATATTCTCACATATGATTTAAAATTATTCTAGCAGCCCTAATAACAGAAAAAATCAATAGTAATCAGGTATTGGAATTTGTAAAAGAAGTATTTTCAAAATAACGTGTAATAATGGTTATTGTAATTCTTTTCATTCTATTTTTGTAGTACTACATGAAAGGAGGAATCTGAAAATAACACAAGAGTTAAAAACAACATCTGTTCAGATAATTTTACATTAAGCTTCTTTTCCACCTTTATTTCCTTTTTACAAGAAGTACTGCACATCAAATATGTGAAATAGAATATAATGTAAACTTAAAGTCAGTAATGTACAACCTGAATTTGAGAGTTTAATATTGCTTCTTTTTTTAAAAAAGATTTTATTTGTTTATTTATTTATTTGAGAGGGAGGGAGGGACAGCATGGGTGGGAGGGAGAGGCAGAGGGAGAAGGCGAAGCACACTCTCCACCAAGCAGGGAGCCTGACTTGGGGCTTGGGCCTAGGACCTCAAGATCATGACCTGAGCTGAAGGCAGATGTTTAACTGACTAAGCCACCCAGGTACCCCTAATTGCTTCTTTAATAAATATGTGATATACTTTTGGATAGGTCACTTAATTCCTGGATTTCAACTTCTTAATTAAGTGCATAATTATTTATCCAAGAAATTTTATTAGGGACTCCAGATTTACTACTCCTTGTTTTCTTTCTTATTGGGTTTAAATCAATTAGTCAATATTTTAACTGATCAACAGGAGTAATGGGAAGATCAATAGAGGAGGAATCAGGTGGTATGAATCCAAGTCTTTTATTTTCTTGTAATTGGCTGAGTGATTTAGAAAATATTTTCTAACCATTCTAAGCCAAGGTTTGGCAAATTTTTTCTGTGAAAGACTGGATAGTAAATATTTTAGGTTTTGCAGGCCAACAGGCAAAATTGAAGATAATATGAAGGTAATATGAAACCATTTAAAAATGTAAAAGCCATCTAGCTCACAGGCAGTACAAAAATGGAAGATGAGCTATATGTGACCTCAGGGCCATAATTTTCCAACCCCTGTTATAGGTAATAATTTTCATCAATTATAAAATGAAAGATGTAGGAGTTCATAGATGATACACATAGAGTGATCCACCAATCCCCTAAAATTGTATACAAAAATCTGAGTGTATGTAAACATGTTATTCTTCAATAGGACAAAAAGTTCACATATTTCATCAGATTTTCAAAGGATTCAAAATCCAATTAAGGTCAAGGATCATAGAACTAGCTGATGACTAAAGATGTTCTCCAAATTTGAAATTTAGTGAACTATTTAACTGAGTACCTAGTATGTCTAAGCTACTGTGTTAACATTATAATAGATGTTAGCATATTATGACCAAAATAACATGTCAAAATATATTAAAGATTGTAATTTGCACAAATCAATGATATCCTTCAAAGTAATAACTTTGAGAAAAATTCTGTAATTAGTCAGACATTTCTGAGATAGTACCTTGCAAAGTATCTTCATAATTCACAGTATAATTATGTCAAAATTATTAATCAAATATTCTTATTACCTCATCTTGTTTTTGATGACAATGGTATTAGTTATGACCATTATAATCAGACTTAACCTAAGCAGAATTTCTTTCCTAAAAATATGATTTCCTTAAGAGCAGGAACTATACTTTTTTCATCTTTGTATTTGGGAACAATGTTTGTCACACAGGAAGTGCTCAACATCTCTGGAATGGATATATAAATGAATGAATGAATGAATGAATGAATGAAAAGATGAAGACACCATCCTGGTGATTTTGTGCCATAGATACCAAAGGCTTAGAATCCAAAATGCCCTAAGAACAGTAGTCACTAAGGTCAAAGATTGGTTCTCTTTTTGATGTTGGACATAACTGTGATTTCAAAATACTTGGTCAGCTAAAGATTGCAGTTCCTGAAGATTAAGTCACGTTTTCCAAAAAGAGTGAAGTTTGCTGAATGTAATTCACGTGTTATAGATGTTCCAGTGACCTAGTCTGGGGGATGGGGTGATATGAGAGTGATGTTTTGTTGAAGGAATAGCAGCATGCTCAGCATCTAAGCCATTCCTGCTGAGACCAAGTAGGAGGTGGTATCAGCTGGAGCATTATACCTAAATGGTAGGCTTTCTTGGGCAATCCAAAAGTCAGATCTAACAGAATTTAGAGTATCACACTATGCTCCCTAAAAAAGAAGTTTAGCCTCATTTCCATTGCCTGGCCAATTGATGGTGCCAAAATCTGAGTACCATTCTCAGGGAATTCCCCAAAGCTACATGGGGTAGGTAGAGAATAACTTGGATCCAAAAGTACCTCTCTTCTCTATCTAGGAATAATTTCATTTTCTGAAAAAGAAACTCACGCTACAATAGCTGGGTTGTGATTCATTCACTTCTCTTGGGAAATTTAAATCTTAAGATTTAAAAAAAAATTAAGAAATGTTAATGAAAAGCCTGCATAATCCTACATGTATCTGGAGTTATGCCTGAAATGTCCTTATTCAAAAAAGTACATCCTACCTCCTTTCCTGCCTTCACTCCCCCTCCACCTCTAAAAGCTGTTAGGGAAACAGCAACATACTATTCATTTTGGGTTGTAATTATAGAGCTTGCTTGTGCAGTGTCACTCTGTATTAAACAGCACCATTTGTTCAACCGTTTAGAGGTTGTGCTAAAGTCATATTCCTGGATCTCCTTAGGGATTGAGATTAGTCCACATATAGGCCAAAACCCAAAACCTTTGTAAATGGGATCTCAAATATATATATATTTGAATGAATGAATGAGTGAATGAATGAATGAAAAGATGAAGACACCATCATGGTGATTTTGTGCCATAGATACCAAAGGCTTAGAACCCAAAATGCCCTAAGAACAGTAGTCACTAAGGTCAAAGATTGGTTCTCTTTTTTTGATGTTGGACATAACTGTGACTACATATATATATATATACATATATATGATTTTATTTATTTATTCATGAGAGACACAGGGAGAGAGTCAGAGACACAGGCAGAGGGAAAAACAGGCTCCACACAGGGAGCCTGATGTGGGACACGATCCCAGGACTCCAGGATCACTCCCTGAGCTGAAGGCAGGCTCTTTAACCACTGAGTCACCAGGCATCCCGGATCTCAAATATATAATCCAATATGTTCAAGGTCCAAGGTCTTGCTTAGGTTATGACACAAAGCCTAGTCCCCTCCCAGAGGATTTCTGAGACACTCAAGGAAGTGCTTTAGGAAGCCCAAGGCAGCAAGTGTCTCTCGTCTGACTGCTGCCCCAGGATCTATCTGCAGATCACCTCTGAAACTTTCTGGTCAGTTTCACTCCAAAAAGTGGATAAGGTGCCTCTGGTTCCCTTCAAACACAATTAACTTGAATCTGTGACAAATTTTTTTGACAAAATTTTCCTTGAAGGACTAGACTAGGTAACAAATATTTTAGGCTTCAGAGGCCATACAGTCTCTGTCACAACTACTCAGTTCTTCAGGTGTCATGCAAAAGCAAATAGTGCATAAATACAAAACTTGATTTATAAAAACAAATGGCTGGTTCACAGCCTATAGTTTGCTGGCCCATGAACTATATTGAAGGCTTGATGACAACTGAAAAAGTTACAGAGGAAAATGAAAGTCTCAAATTAGAATCACCTGGTAGAGGCATCAGTACTGTACTTCTTCCTGGAAGTCCCCAGGAACCATCTCTCCTTGGCCCTGGTTTGTGGCCATGCTACTGAGGCTACTCATGAATCTGGGGCAGAGCTCTACCCTTCTTCCCTCTACAACCTAAATTCGGGTTTCTCCCTTCCTATGTGAAGCTCCGCTTAAATAATAAGTTTATAATATATATTATATATATAATAAGCTCCGCTCAAAAATAAGTTTGTACAGGGGCACCTTGGTGGCTCTGTCGGTTAAGTGTCTGTCTCTTGATTTTGGCTTAGATCATGATCTCAGAGTAGTGAGATGGAGCTCTGTGCTGGACGCGGAGCCTGCTTAAGATTCTTTCTCTCTCCCTCTCCCCCTTTCCCTCTCTAAAAAAGATAATAATAAATTCATACTACAATCATCTCTAAAAAGCAAAGCCTGTTGAACAGAAATGTGATCCATTTAGGTCTGAAGCATCTTCAATACCTTCCATTTATTTGTATTACTAAAAAGCTCACCAAAATTATCTTTTCTTGACTAAAGGTAGACTCTGCCCTAAAAACAAATTATTTTCCTGTTTCTTATTTTTATTTTGGTAAAGTACACACAAAATTTACCATTCTAACTCTTTTTAAGTGTATAGTTCAGTGGCATTAACTATAGCCACCTTATTATACAATCATCACCACTATCC